AAAAACCACCCTGGATAGGAATGCTAAAAAGTAAAAAGAAATAAAATGAACCTGCAGAACAAAAGAATAGGGAAGGTTAGAGACACACAGAAAAATATCCCTCATGAAAGTGTAAAACAGAACTGAAAACATTGAAGTGTGCATAAGTTCCAGTCATCAAATGTGCCCGTGTGTGTGTGTGTGTGTGTGTGTGTGTGTGTGTGCCTGTGTGTTTGTGTCTCAATGTATGTGCCCATGTGTGCATGTGTGTGTGTTTGGTATATATCCAAATATAACTATATCATTGATATATATGCTACGTATTTCACTAGAATCACTGAAGAAATAGAGAGAGACGTTTAGTCAGGGGTGGAATTTTAATGCATACTAGCCCCAAAATTTCAAAATCCAGAAATCCAAGAAGCTAGAGGGACTCTTTATCTAGAGGAAGAAGGGAAGGAGGACAATGAAAGGAAAAGGGAACAAAAACGGGTACATAATAGTTATTCAAAAAATGGTAATAAAGTTAAAACAATCTTATAAGTACCTAGAGAAACAAAGATAAGAATAATAGGTTTTTCTTTCCATGTAAAGTAAGTGAGAAGACAGAGAAGCTACACTGCTCAGAAAAGAATGAGAAGATCACTCTGTTGTTGTTAATATTATTTTGGGGGCTCATGATTTCTCCTTGTTGCCCTTAAATATCTATTAGAGGTTCTACCCCACTTCAGATCAGTTAGTTCCTAAATAAAAGACACAGAGACCTTTAGACTTGTCCTAAGCTTTAGAGCACTAGAGCAGGACAGATATCAACTCTCTATGCTATTTTGTCCATTTTCCTGTCAAAATTCTCAAGATACTATTTGCCTTCCTTTGGGATGTTCCTACTCCATGAAGCCAGCCCTCATGTTCATGTCTTTACTATTTATGTTACCCCATGGCAAACTCTTCCTTCTTCTCCCTTGTTCTCCTCAAGGTGGGTGCATATATGAATGCATAGATGCATATATACACAGATTTTTCCTTGTTATTTATTTTTAGAAGATAAATGATAATTTAAAACTCAAACAACAAACATGTAGCATAACGTACAAAAAAAGGACTTGAGACAATAATAGTGTAAAGACAAAGAAGATGAGAGAGGGAGGGAGGAAGGGAGGGAGGGAGGGAGGAAGGGAAGGAAGGAGAGAGGGAAGGAGGGAGAAAAGTGAGAGTGGTGGAAATAAAGCTCCAAAGTAATCGTAAATAGAAGGGCACAGCCTCAAATAGAAACTAGTAGAGAAAATTATGGAAACTAAAGGCGATATTGTGAGAATATCAACACACTGATAGACAGCTACTTGAACTAATCATGGGGAAGAAAGAAACATACTAGAACATCAAGGGCACAATCAAACTCTGAGTTGAAAACTATTGTCATATTATCCTTCTTCTAACAATGATGTATCAATGCTCCATTAATTTGTCTTTTCAAACAGTTTAAAGGGGTTAGGAGACAGTTCCACAAACAAAGTAAGCATGTTCCTCAGTGTGATGCCCAAGATTCAGGTTAAAAACCAAAATGAACATGGGAGTATGTTTGTAATCCCCATCCTGAGGAAGCAAGGGTTGTTCTCCGGAGTTCATTGACAGCCAGTCTAGACTAGTTGGTCAGCTCTGGGACAGTGGAAAATCTTATCTCAAAAACAAAAGAAAACAGAACAAAAACAAGCAATTAAAAACACAATTACAATAACAACAGCAAAGGTGGATAGCTCCTAAAGAATGGCACTTGAGGGTAACATCTAGCCTCTATACAAAGATATAAAGATCCCTGGAAGAGGGCATGTAACTGTCTCTAGAGACTCCAGAGACAGTAAAAGGATAATGAGTGTGTGTGTGTGTGTGTGTGTGTGTGTGTGTGTGTGTGTGTGTGTGTAATGCATGCCTGTAATTTTAGTCCTGGAGCAGCAGACACCAGAGAATGGTGATTTGAGTCCAACTAGCTATATCATAATATGTTTTCTTAATCACGATGATGATAGTGGTGTGACTATTCTAGAGTACTTCCTGATGATGCATTTGACAGTTTTTGAGTCAGCTAATTCATTTAGAACCATAGCTCTCAAAAAATGTAAGCAGCAGTTCTCCAGCCAATTGCTTTTAACAGACTATATTTCTAAACAGATTATGTTTTTCATGTAGAAACTCTTAGGCCCAGAAGTCATTGCTAGAATTTTATTAAACCTTTGATGAGGCTATAATGCCAATTCTGCACATACACAGAAGGCGATGATTCCAAACTCACACGATGAATGATATTACCTTGACATCAAAACCAAAGACCTGAAATAGAAAGCAAAGCAAAACAAACAAAAACTCCATTATATTGGTTAACACTGATAAACACAATGCAACTGTTCTAAGCAAAGAAAGAGTATACATACAAGTAATAAATGATCAAAGAGGATGATACATAGTGATAAAGAAGAATTTATTCTGAAACTAAAGATTCTATTAGCATTCTAAAGTAAGTTAATGCAACTCGTCATATTTACAAACAAAAGCCGACCATAAAAAGTGGTTTTGTTAGGATTCAAAAAAAAAAAAGGACATTGTAAAAAATGAAATATTTATCATTAAAAGCACTCTTTGTCTGGTGTGCTGGCATATGCCTGTAATAACAACACATAGAAGGAATGTTGTGGCAGGCTGATTGTAAATTCAAAGCCACCTGGGCTACATGGTAAGACACCCCCCCAACTGTGATGTTCACATTGATTATCAATTTTATTGGCTCTAGAATCACCTAGGAGACACACTACTCAAGATATCTGTGAGGGTGATTCTAGACTGGGTTAACTGAGTTGAGAAGACCCATCCTAAGTGTGAGTAGCACCATTCCATAGGCTGAGCTCCCAGGCTGAATGCAAAGAAGACAGGAGTTGGTGCGAACACTCAGTTCTCTCTCTATTCCTTAACCTGCTCTCATCAGTTCCTGTCAACCTTGTACAAGAGGTTCTAGGCAGGACAATCAGGCAGGAAATGGAGTCCCCATGTAGAACACTCCTTTCTCTCCATGTTTGTGTGTGTGTGTTAAAATAGTTAACTGTAGCATGAAAGATCAAGTGTGACAATCATTGAAAGTGCTAATAGATCAATAAAATAAGACAATTGAGTACATATCTGGAAACCAATTATTCTTCAAAATATGCAAAAGTCTCTTAAAAGTCAGCAAAAGAATACAAATAAATCTATTTTTAAAAATGACAAAATATCTGAACAGACAAATCCACAAAGGATATGTACTACATCAATTCCATGTCTTATTTCATCAGGATAATAAAAGCTAAGGTAATAGTGAGAAACTACTATATATCTCCTAGAGTACCCCAAAGCCAAAAACACTAGCAGTAGTACATTCTGGATAGGGAAGACATGGACAACAGAAGCGTCCAGTTGCTTGTGGAAATGCAAAGTGGTGACCAGGTTAGGAAAACAATTTGTGAGGTTCTCAAAACACAAATGTTGATTTTTAACAAAATCTCAAATGTTTGATTTTGCCAATAAAGATTTGGGAATCAGATGCTGAGGTGAAAGCCTGACTACTCAGAGAGGCAGGGGAAGCAGCCAGCTGACCTTCCTTCTCAGCTAACCTCCCAAAAGGAAGCTCATCTTCTCCACCCCATCTCAAAAAGCTTCAACTGAATGTCCCCTCTACTTCCTGTATATCTCTTTATCAGTCCTCCTAACTTTCTTTTAATCTTTGTTTTTTTTTTCCCTATGTTCACTCCATGTCAACTACTTGCTTGCTCTGCCCCTTGACCTATGATTGACTTTATTTTATTTAATCTTTTTTACAATGAACAGAAGGCTTTTGGACTAAAGGTATGTGCTAGGGCTGAGCCGAGCCATGACTAGAAACAGGTTTTTCTAGTAAATAATACAATCTCAGGGTTCTCAGTGTGATCAAATATCCTGCAACACACCAAAGTATATAGATGCTTGTAACAGCTTTGTTCACAATTGCCAAAACTTGTAAGCAACCAAAAAATGTGTTTAAGAAGTTTGAGTGGACAAACTGCAGTACATACAAACAATGAAATAGCTGTGCTAGAACAAAATAAGCTACCAAGCCAGAAAAGGGCATGGAGGAGCCTTGAGTAGATGTTACTAAGTAAGAGAAGTGTTTGAAAAGTATGAATACTGTAAGATTCTCTCGTTGTATGGCATTCTGGAAAAGACCCTATAAAGACAGAAGAAAAATCAGGTACTGTCAGATCAGAGGGAAAACAAAAGAATAAATGGATAGATGAAGACTAGGTGGGAACAGAAATTTTTAGGACAATGAAACTATTCTATATAACATTAGAGAAATGTCAATGTTAAAATGTTATGTTAAAACATAACTTATCAAACTCCAAAAGATACACAATGTCTAGCAGAACCACTGGTGCTAACTGTAGTTTGGGGTAATAAAAATGTCCAGGTCATATCCCCAATTCTTGTGTGGGATATTGACAGTTGGAGATGTTGTGTCAATGATCTAGCATATGAGAATTCTCTCTAAACCTGCCCTAATAGAGACAATTATTTAAAAGTGCTTTAGAAAAGGATCATATTCACATTAAGAAAATGGGAAATAACTGGAATCCAAGACAAAGAACACCAGCCTTCACTATTCTCCTTTACCAGGATGAGTACCCAATAGACTACCATGTATAGAGGACAAGATCAAAGGGATGTACATTCTTTATGAGACCAAGATTTGCCTTATCTCTGAACTCAATGCTGAAAACAGAATTAAAAGACCATTGTTCAGTTTGGAGGCAGGGTCAGGACCAAGGAATAGACTGGTCAATTGTATCTGCCGTGTTGGGGATTGATTCTAATTCTTTGATTTAATCATAAACCTGTGTGTCCAAACACTGAAAGTCCTTGTCCCCGATTGGTATTTGATTGATCAATAAAGATGCCAGCAGCCAGTGACTTGGCAAAGGGAGATGGGGTAGGACCTTTAGATTTGTGTTGGCTGGGACCTGGGTAAAAGGAGACACAGGTCACTGTGAAGCAGTAGGAGACAGATGGACATAGGAGCTGCAGGACATAGAGCCAACCAGCTATGTGAGATTTCAGGTAAGTGGCCGCTGGCGACTTCCCCGATTGGGCCTAGTGTAGCAGGCAGAGGATGAGAAGTGCCCAACCACTGAGCTATATGGCACAGTAAAAATGAGCTTGTGGTGTGTGTGTGTGTGTGTGTGTGTGTGTGTGTGTGTGTTTCATTTGTGCATCCAGTGAGCTCAGTGAGCTACTGGGTGGGTGGCTGGAGGCACAACACGCTGGGAGCATAAAGCAGAGTAGCCCAAACTCCCCACTACACTGTCCTTTTTCAGTAATAACACCCTGAAATTCTCAGATAACTTCTCACCCACTGAACACCTTATTGAATTACTTTCTTTGAACTATTTTCTTTTTATAGATAAATACATAGCACCCGCCTATGTAACATCCTATTGCTGATAAGCATACAGTCATCAATATTGAATTTACCAGAAAATCAAAGTGAAGCACAAACCAAGAATATGTAGCTATGCCCTAGTGTACGAGCTGGTTTGGTACCAGTTTAACCCATGCTAGAGTCATCAAAGAGGAAGGATCCTCAGTTGAGAAATTGCTTCTGTGAGATGCAGCTGTAGGGCATTTTCTCAGCCCATTATGAGTGGTAACATCCCTGGGCTGGTAGTCCTGGGTTTTATAAAAAGGCAGGCTAAGCAAGCCAGAGGAAGCAAGCCCATAAGCAGCACCCCTCCATGACTTCTGCATCAGCTCTTGCCTCCATATTCCTGCCCTCTTGGAGTTCTTGTCCTGATTGTCTTCATTGATAAATAGTGCTGTGGAAGTGGAAGTTGAACAAACTCTAACTTCCTCTTAGTTATGGTATTTCATCCCAGCAATAGAAACCCTAAGCCACCTGTGAAAATGTCAAATGTAAATTAAACAGAAATATGTGAAGGAAAGAGCCCACCAAGTGCTATTTGTGGGTCTCCCTTTCTTTCCTGTCCAGATTAAGCTGGTTGGTAATATTTAGTCACTCTCCACCCTTGTGTTTCTTACCTTCCAAATCGTAATCCACAGGAGTAGCTGGAGTGCATGGAGACCTTCTGTAACCAGAGTCTCCTCAGTTACTGGGCTTGGCTTCGTCTGCATATTACTCACTTCATGATCCACACAGCAGAAATCACACAAAAAGCAACCCACGTGTTTAACAATGTTAAGTAAAGGCAATTACGGCAAGAGGGAAATCCAGAAGGAGCATTCTTTTTTTTTTTAATTTCTTTTTTTTTTTGAACATGAAATGCTTTTTTATAGCATGTTTTACAAGGGGAGGGGGTAAGAGGGTCCAGGTGGTGGAAAAGTACAAAATCTTCTTGGCCTGTGCCTTGAAACATGTCATGGTCTATATGGTACACTGCCTTGAATTATGATCTACCTGCAGTTCTTCAGAAGATATGGTACACTGCTTGAGTTATGGTCTCCCTGCTATTCTTAAGAAGACATGGTACTCTGCTTTGAGTCTATCTGCAGTTGCTAAGCAGGATCTTGCAGTTGCCAAGCTTCAGAGGACATTGTGCAGGTGGGGAAAGGTAGGGGGTAAGGGTAAGGGCGAGGGTCCTGGCTTCTGGCATCTCCCCCTTCTCTGTTTAGTTAGAGAAGGCGTCTTATGTTCAATCCCAACTATGTGAGTTTTGAATTTGGATGTCTAATTATGGGGGGTCTTAGACAAGTTCACAACCCCAAAACACTGATGTGAGACGAGTCACATCGATGGTCGAAGGCTTTAGGCTGTCGACGATGGGCAACGTCAAGGGACTCTGATGTGGGTGAAAGGAGGGTGAGAGCCCTGTCTTAGGCCATGTAGGCTGCACCCACTCCCAGCACCACGCACTCCTTTTCGGCTGCATTGGGTGGGCCCCTGGGAAGTGGACCTACAATAATCCTGTCATTGGGCTAACTCACAGCCATCCTAGTCTCTTGTAAATGTTCAAGTCAGAAGGAGCATTCTTGACCAATTACAACCACACTGGCTTTATCTGCTCCTTATTACAAATTATTTCTTAAACCACATCTCTGTGTCTCCGACTGAATGGATTACAGCCAACTCTTGATTCTTACTGTGTGATTGGGAATCTGAATCACCTTCTTCCCTGCCACGCCCAGGCTTGCGTTTGACATGCTCCTTAGGCAGCACTGGGTAATACTCCTTTCCAAAACAGGGAAGGGCCCTGGTCAGCTATTCTGTAGCACACACAAATTCGTAATCCACAGGAGTAGCTGGAGACCCTCTGTAACCAGAGTCTCCTCAGTTACTGGGCTTGGCTTCGTCTGCATATTACTCACTTCATGATCCACACAGCAGAAACCACACAAAAAGCAACCCACGTGTTCGTATTCTGTAGTCCACATTCCAGGGTGTCCAGCAAGTTAGATGATGGCCTTCTACATGTACAGCTTTATTCTCTTGTTACCGATGAACACTGACTTTCTCTCCAGCTCCCATCCTGGCTGATCCACTTGTTTTCCCAGAGCCCCTAATTTTTTATCTGGTACTCAGTTGAGCTTAATATGTACTAACGATGCTGGTCCACACCTGCTAGCTCATCAAATGAGAAATGCTCTAATATGCCCTCAACTTTTCTATGCTTCTTTTGTGGATTAACATAAGATATTCCTATGAAACCACATTGGAATGCTATTTTGCCGTGTTGGCAAAAGTTGAATTCAAGCACAAATTAGGACTCAGCCTTCTCTGTGTTAAGCATGTACGCATCAGAAATGCTCACATGTATTCAGCCAAATAAGAATGTTCAGAGCCACATTTATGATAACACATAAAAGAATTAATAGCAAACCAAACAGCCAGCCAATGATCCTCTACAACAAAGCAGATAAGCCCAGCCACACAGTGGAATTACATAGCAAAGAGAGTGAGCAGACAATGATTATACACAACAGTGTGAATGATTTTCAGAAATAGTACTGAGAAGTCTGACATGGAGGGGCACGTGTGAGTCTACCTACATTTGCATTGGGTATAAAAATAGCTATTCCTAAACTGTGTTTCTGGAAGCTGGAATAGCAGTTACTGTTGATGAGGAGATTACCCACTGGAAAGGGCACAGAGTGTTTCTAGGACACAACCACGCTCTACTGCTTGATCTGGATGCTGGACAGGTGTGTGGCTGTTCAGTTATGAGGTCATTCTTTGTGTTGTACTCATAAGAAAAGTGCCTGCTGCACTGTTATGCTATTACGTTACATCTTAATGCATGACTTGAAAGAATTTACAAAATATTCCACACATACTAATAAAATCTTACCGATGGAACTGCCTCAGACCTATTACTATCCAATCATATAAGATCTCATAAGGGAAAGAAGGGAGAGGCAGTAAAAGAGCCATCCTTTAAAGAAACAAAAACAATATATGACCAGTTAACTTGGTCTCACAGATGAGAAACATTGGAATCAAGATCTTGGAGAGTACAAAAAATAACTTTCTGTAGGTTAAAAAATAATTCTGGAAAAGTTAGACTAGAAACCGGTCCTTATGACTCAGCCCAGCATTCTTGGACATAATAAGATTCTGCTGGATACAAAAACATCTTGAAATTTTCTACTAAATGGTTAAGACTTTTTAATTCAATATATTTTCTTTCTACCTGATATAGAACATCTTAACCTTTTTTGCATGTTGAAAAAGCTTTCAGGGCTGTGGGGTATAGTCAATAAGGTGCTTGTCGTGTAGGCATGAAAGCTTGAGTTCAGACTCTTAGCACTCATGCAAAAATTCAGGTATAGTGATGTGTATCTGTCATCCCAGTCTTGGTGGGGGGCAGAGACAAGAAATCTCTGGAGCTTCCTAGTCAGCCAGTGCCCCCAAATCAATGATCTCTAGGTTCATCAAGAGACTGTTTTTACAAAAAGAAGGGAGAGAGTGATTGAGGAACACAACTCATGCTAACCTCTGCCAGGCATACAGACATGCTCATGCACCCACATACATGTGAACACACATGTGAGCATATGCACACAGATTAAAAAGGGGGAAATGGTTTTTGACTAATGGATGCAGTAGTACTATGGATATCCTGACCTGACCACCTACAGAAGTCAGTTCTGGTTGAAGCACAAGGTTTGGACCCATACCCTTCTCAGAATCTGCCTTTTCCCTCACTTTCCAGGTACCCATGATGGTCATCTGAATATATTTGCACATTCAGTGTGGTCAGTCCACTCACCTGAAGGTGGTGCGTGCACTAGACACCAAACAACATTCTCATTGCTTTCTCTTGTTCAAACCCTGCAGAACTTATGAAGCTTCCCAATCATCGCAAGACTAATTTTTAAGACCACTGACTAGGAACACTGGAATGACCGGCTTTTATCTTTTCATCTGAAGAGTTCACCTATTTGGTAGACAAATCTCTGTCACCCCACAGGAATAATCCCAGGGCCAGACATTCTGGCTAAGGTGTGCTATAGAATATTAGAAATCCTAAAGAGTATGAGTCAACATAGAATGTGCCAGAAAGATCCTGATGACTCCTCTCTGAGGACCTACTTCCTACTACTTAGCCAAAGGATTTGGGATGAATTGCTTAATAGTACCAAACTCAATTTTTTCAACTATCAAATAGAAATAATGATAATAACATCTGTCCTATTGGACTCAAAATAATTAAACAAGTAAAACAACTTAATAAAATTATATAAAAACAATAATACTATGCCTGGAAAATGGCAATGATCCGTCAAGGTGACTTGTTACCAGGTTAGTTATTATCATTGATGTAAAGGTGATTACCTTGTCGGTTGGTTGATTGGCTCTCATAGGACAGCAGACTCGGCAGAGCTCAGGATCTGAATGGAAGCAATTCATTCAGGAACTGCTCCTAGGAGAACGGGAGTTCAGGAAACAGGATGGAGAGAGAGGAAGACTGAGGAAAGGTATAATTTTAGACAAAGTCTGGCCACAGCCTGATGTCATTGAGAACTGTAGAAGTGTAAAGCATACCTTGTCTGATCTCAATTAAGGACCTCAGCAATAGCATTGCTGGTCCTTTCTGTCATTGACT